TGTCAACGAGATCCCATGTGTGAAATCAACGGGTGATTCAGTTTCAGCACTGTTTCATAGAAACGGATGGTAAAATCCGACGAATTTTACTTCTGCCGTTAGAGAGACGTTGGTAATAATTAATAAAACAGACGTATAATATATAACAGAAGAGAATTCTCAAGTTGCTCATTCTTGTCGTACGTAACGTCAGCTAATAACCATTATCATGATTTATGATTAATCAAGCAGTATTATCTGGAAAAGTTTAGCTGTGTAATATTTAACGTGATTCGTATCCGAAGTCCGTTGGAGTTATTAAACGTAGCCACACCGCCGAACTGAACAGAGAACAGAATCGGAGAATTCACACAAAAATAAGACACTAATTTTATTAAAGTAAACAATGCAATACTCGCGGCGATGTAATTTTAAAATCGAGAAATAATTCAATGAGTTTTTTTGTTTAATCAATTAAATCGTTTTTCTACCTAAGTATTAATTGAAAAGTAAATCTGTTTCCACAGTATCTTCTTTCACAAGGAATCCTGAAAATTTTAGTCACGGAAACCTAATTACACAAGCCGAAACAGTTGCAACGTTGAATTAAGTGCAAAAGGCAATGATGGAATAAATTTGCGGTTAATGAAGCGCCGCTTAAATAGAGTTGATAAATGGAATCAGGAATTGCTTCATAGATGATACCGTGTTCTGCCTCTTATAATTCATGGAAGTTCGCATACACCGGAAAAAAAAACATACTTTGAATATTTTCCTTCCTGAAGTTTGCCCTTCTCCGCCGGCATGGTTCTTTAATAGCTTCTGCTGTAAATAAGTTCTTGAAAGAGAGATTTTTTACTTCGCGGATATTACCTCGTGGAAAAATATATATTTAACGTGGATGAAGACTAATTTGTGACGATTAAAAATTTTATTACGTATATCACGGTGAGAGCATTTTATCCGTGACTTTATATCCTCATAATGTCCCAGTAATTCTTGGAGAGTGTCTTTTTATTATTTTTAATATATGCTTCTCGATATAAGAAAAAAAATGAAAAGTTACAGAATAAAATAAAAAGTTGAAGTACGTCAAAAGATGAACTTTCTACTTCTCTGAAAGATAAAATATTTCATAGATGCGTGATGATAATTTGTGTTCGTATTATTACTAAAAATTCGAGTCAAACATTTAACTCGACAAGTCAGAATTATAATGGATATCTCATAATGGATATTCTTGTCTACTCTGATAATTTTGTTATATTATAACAATAACAATTATTCTGAACACCAAATCATATCAAATCCAATTAGCATATTTCCGATGCTAATAATCGATTAGGACTCGATTATATCTCGCGGAACGCGGATTTGCAGAGCTTTACTTCCAATTCCACGAACACGATTGACGATCCACGCGCGTGTCAGATCAAAGGGGAGGAGGTGGGACTTTGATGTACATTGATAATTCATGCGGATCCAATTACACTTTGAAATCGCCCGGTAATTGTTCCAAGTAAATACCCCGGGAGAACTCGGCAACGAAGACAGCGAGCACGCTTTACAGAAATAGTACGAATAGTATGAGAAGCACGCTTTATAGAAATAGTATGAATAGTATGGGAAGTGCGATCGATTTCATTCGGAATATCGTCATCCGTGAGTGCAAGTTCAACGGAAAGAATGTTTCCGGCGCTGCACGTTAATTTTATGTATCACCAAAAATATATCTACGGTTCCTCATCCGTTTTGTCATCCTTCAACTGCAACTTTGAACATCTTATTAAACAATCACATTTACTCTTTTGTTAATCTTTAAAAATGTAAATCAAAATGTAAAAAATTATAAATACGCTGTGTAATATATAAAATTATTGTAATGTGATCTTGATTTTTTTATTCAAACATGAATATTTTCGATACGCAATATTCTGTATAATTTAAATCTACATCTCATCAAAGTTCAAAATGCATATAAAATTGAAATATAATGGATGTGATTTATAAAATATAACCAATATATCATTCTGCTTTCATCTACACGTATTTATTGTCATTTTTTACGAAGGCGTTGCAATGAATAAAATAATTTCGACGTGATTTTTATGCAACTTGACTTTTTGAACCAGCGATCTACGACGCGAAAAAATTCGATTCACAACAAGCCTTACTTTCTTATCATGCCGCCAGTTTATTATTCCTCGAGCATGTTCTCTTGGCAACGTGTGCGCATACATGCATGAATAAGAAGGAAGGTTTGATATTGCCTTAGAATACCGTGAATTACTTTAAACGTGATCCAACGAATAAGTCAGTTTAATAGAAACTTTTTCTTTATATTATTCAATAAGAATTTGTAAGGAACTACTCAAAATCACGTACAATTTTTTTTATATTATACGCAAAAACAATCCCAATTTAAAGAAAAAAATAATGCATCTTAAAAGAAAAAGGGGAGAAAAAACTTAATAAATTTAAAACACTTATATCACTATATTAACATCTTAATAACCACAAATTTTTATGTTCGCAAAGCACTGTATTTTTGTAACGGAACTGTTATAAAAATTTCAAAATGTAATTTTATGTACGATATATTTCAAAACGTTCACTCGCGAAAAGATGCGACCGACTCGAATCGACGGACGTTTATTATTTCACGAATTTTTTCACGTACCAACGAATGCGCATATTTTGCTCGCGCCCACCGGACGAGCCGCGTGCCACGAAGAACTATGCATGACTCACCGCTAAATTAGAATACCAAGCGACGATTCTTTTTTTTTTCCTTTCTTTCACAAACGTTGCCGGTCGGTAACAGGAACCGAAGTGACATTGACTAATGAGCTCGCATCGGGCATTCACAGGCACATGCAAATGCGTTCTCGGCTACGTCGCGCGAATCATAATCCGTGCACGGTCGTTTACGGCCGGTAATTTGACGTGCGACGAGCCACGAAAGGGCGCGCGACTGCCTTACCCCTCCCGCTGCCAAGAGGCATTTAAGAGGCATTTTAATCGCGACTAAATTTCATCTCGAATCTTTTCAATCGAAAAATAATCTACATCATATTAATCAAATATGAAGAAGATGCATTTCATAATTACGCTGTGTCTGACATTTGTAATGATTATCGCGTGAACCCTGAAGTGAATCGTCGAAGTGAGATCAAAAGGGAACATCTTAAGTATACTTTAAATAAGAATATTTAGTTAGAAAATAATGTTATTCATTATGCGTAATGCTATCTTGATACTCATTTCTCAATTCTCCATCTCCTTCTCGATCAGTTTTCTTTTTTTTTTCTTTTCTTTTTTAGCAATTCTTAAAGTAAGTTTTTATAACGAAGAATTCACAAGCCAGTTCCCACGGAAGGAATAAATTATACACATTTCAAGAAAAATTGCGGCGTATTTTTATAACACGGTACCTTCTTTTCCACACTTTCCTACCTTTGTTAAGGAGGTAAAAGATGGTTACGATTAATGTAAACGAGGTATTCCGCAACAAAGTAATACCCGGTTATAAGAGCGCGCGCGGCGCTATTTGCTGACAAAATGTATACGTGCACGCGGGGTATGTGTAATTTCGTTCGTGAGAGTAAAAAAAAGGTTGTGGAGCATGGGAGTAACACTGCGACAAGACCGTGCGTCGCTTTTTCGTTGCTCTCGCGAGGGCGGCATAAGCATCCTGCAGCAAGTAGTATAAAACTTCCCCTGTTAACGTCTCCCAATTCGCGTGCAACTTTTCGCGAAGAATGTTATTGCGGCGTTGCGGCACCGCTGAAAAGATTCGAAGATTTTCGCGAAAAGAGTGTGCACACGCGGGCGCGCGTGTGTACTCGCGCTCGAAAATTCAACGACGATGCAGATATTGCGGCTAGACGCATTTGCGTTCTACACAACGCGCTTTTTTCATTTTTTAAATTGCGGAGAATTTTTGATTAGTTTTTTCCCCCCCAAAAAAATTGGCGAACACACACCGCGGCGCGCGATGTAAAATCGACACTCGCGTGTAAAATTATTATTAAGTACTTTTCGTATTACTTTTTCGATTGTAAACAAACGAGTAAACACGCGGAATGAAATTGCATCTTGCATCAACGACGTCGGTCGGAAATTCTAGTTTTCCCGTTTTCCTGCAGAGGATAACGTCCTGCGACGTCATGCTCGCGGAATACGCGCTCCGGTGATGCCGCTCGTTAGTTTTCGTCGACAGTTTTCACAACAGTTTCTTTCGCTATTCTTCGTGACGCACCGTTCCTACGGGGAAGAGTGCCCATTAAAAATGTCGAGGACAAAATTCAGTACGAATCCCGTCCCGTCGGATGGCTGAAGGAGAGAGAGACCCTGCGACGACGTCATTTTGTTTAAAGCTTGTCGCTGACTCGTTGCTGCCGCGCGCCGAGTCACTTCAAACCTCGCAATAAAATAACTTCTTCTCAGAGAAGAGCGTTCCTGTGCGCTCATTATACGCCATTGTGCAACAAGCTTCGGATAGATCCCCCTACCGAACGCGTTATTGCACGGCCCGCAATATCAGTTTTTCTCACTACTTTTCAAGGATTGCAACGCTGAATCGCCGCCGGCAACACTTTCTCGGGAAAACGCTCGGTACAATTTTACCGTTTAAATAAGTAATTACTTCTCTCTCTCTCTGCGCGACTAGATACTAAATCCCTTGCCGCTATTTTTTTCATAATGTTATTGCAACTCGATCATCAACTTGTCCATTCTATTTGCGACTCGGGAACGGCAAAATATACGGCGTATCTCTTAGTATTCGATCATACCTCGTGTTCAAAATTATCCCAAGCTATTATTCCTTACCAGAATCTATAATAAATATATTCATAGCGTTTATATTGTTTGTGAAAGATAAATATACAATTAATTAATTACGTTTAAATAAAGTTTAGTTCTAAAAATAAGAACGTTAGCCATTTGCGAGACACGCTGTACATTTGGTCATATTTCATGGCAGCAAAATTGAAGACAAGAGAATTTCTTTCGCTTACCACAGGTGTACACGACTTTGAGATACGTTTTGCTGTTTGGACTGCAAGGGTCTGGTCTGCCAAACGTTGTGATGTTAGCCACTACTGAGCATCGTCGTTTGCCATGACATAATTGCATTACGGTTTCCGTCGCAAAGTCCATCATGCAATCTGTAACAGTATAATGGTAACAGTAACAAAACATGCACAAGAAAAGAAAGCTGAAAAAAATTTCGTATTTTTGATATTTCCATTTTACGCGAAACTGCAAAAGGAACAACGAAATTTGTACATTTTACAATAACAACTCCATAAAGGTAAAGAGGATGACTGGTTCGTTCTATGCATACAACTCACAAAAGTTAAAGATAGTGTTTTTAAAGATATAAATCCATTGTTTTAAATCAAAAATCACGTGAAGATTACATAAGGCAAACGTTAAAACGCAATTTCCGCGTGCAATTAACTCTTGAATCTAATTGTAACACAAGTAGAGTGATCTGCTATTTTGCTAACTCGCGTTCAAACATTTATAAAATATCAGTAAGATTGATTCTATACGTACATCATTTGTGATGTACGGAAGACACTACTATATATACATATATAGCGTTTTCTGTTTTCGTTATTGAATAAAATTTAGAAAAGCTGGCCAACAGTACACAGCCGCGCCGGAGGAAGAATGAGAATTTATCGATCCGAGGCTTCACGCAAAATGACAGAAAAGACGGAATCCTAGGGAGAGCAGGAAGTCTTCGGAGTTTCCGATACTCTTTTGTGCGGGGAAAATGTACGTATCGCTCACGTCGACCTGAGACGTGACGACGCGGCGGCGCATCTCAGTGAAGGGATATCAAGACGACCACGAGCTATTCATGGGAAAGAAGCACGAAAAAGCACTATTATAACGCGGCACCATTCCGTAGATTTTGTTCCTTATTGTCGCACTCAAGCGGCAAGCAACCTTTCGACCCCGCGCGTTAAAGGGTAGCTCAACGAGTTCGCGGATGATGACCGGACAAGTGGACCAAGGAATTGTGTCGGATGGAGAGATTTATTGGATCATCGTGAACAGAGCCGAGCTATTCATACAACTGTAAAACCAGAATTTCCTTTGCCTATAAAAGGAACGGAAATGATATTTTCTCTTAAGAAGAGTTAAAAAGGCAAATAAATAAATTTCTCTTTTTATAAAGTTAACCGAGAGTAACTGATTCTTTACTTCTCTTTCTAGTTTTTTGTTTCTAAAATTGGATATCTGTTTAGCTACTATAAGATCGTAAGAATAATCGCAGGGTTGGAAAGTCACTTTAAAAAAAATAACTCGTTACCGTTACTCGTTACTCACTGAAAAAAAGTAATTTATTATCGTAACTCGTTTATTCATTGGAAAAAATATCTCGTTAGCGTTATCGCAACTCAAAAACCATATCGGTACTTTTACAATTTCCGTTACTTTTTCACCGAATTTTAATAAATTTTTTTTTAGAGTGGCATCCAATTGTCTATGACCAGCTAACTGACCAGTTTAATATAAGATTTATAGTGGTTGTTATGGCTAATTGCAACATGGTAAAATATAATACTTTGTTCTCTTAAAATTCGCTCCATGTTCGTTCCATGCACGCGTATTGTACGTGTACAAAGTAATGGTAAAAGTAACGATTATATTCGTTATCGTTAACCCAAAAATGCAAGTGCGTTACCATTACTATTATTAATAAAAAAATATAACGTCGTTACTAATTCGTTACTAAAAAAAAAACTGTAATGGTAACGGCGTTGCAAGTAACGCGTTTCCAATCCTGAATAATTCGTGCAGTATACGTGGATTATCATTTCAATAATCTAAAATTATTATGAAGATTCGAAACATGATACAATATTAAAAATAAAAGACCAGTTAAATAAATAAGAACATCCTTAAATTCGTAAAACAATAACGTTTCAATGTATCAAGAATTCAATGGTATCGTTAAAGTATCAGAGCAGTATAGTCTTCGCAGCGCAAACCATTCTCGTTTACGTTCTCCCGTTCGGTGCTCTCTCCGTGCGCTTCCGTATAGGAATCGATTGATTGGACGGGACAAAAAGTCGTCGTGGGAACGCGAGCGGTCGACCGGAGCATTCATTCGCGAGTTAAAAGAATTTACTTTGAAAAGTTAAATAAAACCACGTCTTGAGAACGAGGAGGGAGGAGGGAGAGGGTAGCTCTTCGTTCTTCCTGAATTAAAAGTAAGCGGCGCGGCGTGCGCCTCTCACGACGCGCGAACGCGAATAACAGGCTTTCCCCGATATCAAACGTCACATTTGGCGCCCAAATGCATCTGTCGGTCATTGAATTATCCCGCTCCACTTGGGAGACGGAAACACTCGACTTCATTTTTTTTCTCCCTTTTTTTAGGAATACCCTGCGGGAGAACTCACTTTAATTTTCTCTTCCCACATCACCCGAACCTCATCCGAAACTTCGGCAGCCACGGGAAGAAAGAGTCGCAATCTCGTCGCCAAGTATGACAATAAACTAGGACAAACATCGACTCGAAGGCTCCTCCGCAGAGAAAAACTCATCGGCAAACAGAAGAGATGAACAACAGAGATTATCGATCGATTCTCATTATATCACTAGAAACTGAAGCGTCAGTTCGCTGTCCGACTTGCGAGGATTTCGGTTTGATATTTACGCACACGATGTGTATGATGGATATCGTTACTTTAATAATACGCGAGATTTACATCTGCGTATAAATAAATACTTAACGTCAGCTACTATAATGTCGGAAAGTGTCCGTAACTAACATTTCATACAAAGCGAACAACGTACTCGGAAACGACATAAAACCAAGGTATCAAAGCGTAACGAGTCGCACGCGAGAGAGTTCGTAACGCGTTGAAGTTCACGAGTTTATGTTCGATTACTTATTGACTTCAATAATACGTAATACGATGTATGGCATATGTCACAAATGTCACGTAATATCGATAAAAAAGGAAGAGTTAAAAAAAATTAAAAAGAAGTACAATAAGTAAATTATAATTAACAGAGAGACGCAAAATGTTAAATTGATGGCGGCACTTACTTTCGTCTTGCACGCCCAGCGGCTGCGGACACTGCAGGGACTCGTACTGCGTTCTACCGAAAGCAGCGCTGAAAATCGCCACCCTCTGGCCGGGATGGCAAACGAGATTGACGACTTCGTTCTCGCAAGCCACCTTACTCCTGAACTCATCTGAAACCACAAAACCAGCTTTTAATAAAGCGGCCGTCGCGCTATCATCGCCGCCGTCGTCGCCGCCACCGCGCAAAACGCAATTAAGTTCGCGACGCGACGCCGGTTTATAAAGTGTACCTTATTAGCGAGCAACCGTGATTGTTTCTCATCGTTCTTTCAGCAAGAGAGGAAAAAAGACAAGGAAGAGAAAAACTTTCTATTTTTGTCGAAAATTGCGACAAATCGTGAGTTCCGCGATTGAAACTCCGCAGGCGACGCGATCGTTTTCTTACGTACGGGCGTTCCCTCGGGGTGAAACAGACGTTGTCTACTCGTCTCGTTACGACGTAACGTTGCATTCGCGAATTTCAATGAACCGGAACGGCTTGCATTGCAGCTGCCGATAGTATCGTTTTTGCGCTTCTCTCCCTGCGGGGGAGCGGAAATCGCGTCGCGCTGGGAAGTTTCTTGCGACGGGCGCAGTTTGCGAGCTTACGGATTGCCGCGTGTTTGCTCTTGCGCCGATATCTAATACCGATAAACGAGGATAAATCAAAAAGGGGCTCTTGCAGATTCTTGATTATTTCCGCGTATTTTTATAAATATTTTTTACGAAACAAAAGCTTCACCACACATTCGTATATCGATCACCAATAAAAAAATTACGGACAACAAGCTATACGATATTCAACATTTGAAGGTGTTAACCTTGCAAAAATTGTTCACAAAATGTCATGCGGTCCAACCGTTTTATTGACGAAGCATTCATATATTTGGAGGAACAATGTCTACAGATCTTACATGAGCAGAAATTAATGTTTTGCCCCTTTTTCTCGAAATGGCAATGAAACTTTTTTTTTCCTTGAAAAAAAAAAACTTTTAATAAACCAGATTTTCTTATCTCTCTTGTCCTCGTAAATTTGCAATTAAACGTGTTATTAAATGCGGTCTCGTCGCGGCAGAATTGGCAATAAAAATTTACGGATGTGCGTCCGGTGAATCCACCCGCGTTCGAGTGCAGCGAAAACGCCGCGGTAACTCGTTGATGTATCGCGGTTTTGTTGCGGAAGAACAAGTTTGACCATAACCCAGCGATCCTACCGCCGCGGGCAACGTCTTTTCATACCGCGACCATGCTTCTTCGACCCACGCACGGAAGTCGGCGGGTGCACTTATGCCCGAGATAAAGTGTTATGCCCTGCTTTATTGAGTTGGCGATTTACGGTGGTTGCCGTCGCTGGCTTTCGAACTTCTTCCGCTCGGCGAACCGAGGCCAATGGCTACCATCGCGATTTAGGGGAAAATTACGTGCGGCGAGGAGGCCGCCCGTGCACATTGTTTAACGCGATAGCTTCACCGAGATCGCCAGTGTGCCAAAACCAACGTAACGACAGCACCAGCTAATCTTACCAATCCGCTGTATCAGCCAGTTTTGTCTTTACTTCGTACTACTATAAACACTGGCTGACCTACATCTACTTTTATTTTTTTCTAGCCCATATTTTCGCTCCTCTGACAAAAATATCGCGTTTTTCTGGATTCATACATATTTTTCGTTTTCCCTCTACACGCGTATACAACCTGCGCCGAGCTTTAACTAACAAGAACTGATATAGTCTCGCTGTGACCAGAACTATATTAAAGTGTACAAAAATTAAAGCTCTAAGTTTCAGCTTTGTAAAATTCTGTAAATTCAACTTCAATATAATAAAATAAAACTATGAGTCACTCCTTTCCTTTTTTTTTAAACAAACGTATTTTTCCTTTATAAAATTTTACCAATATAAACATCAGTTGGCCTACTTTCAATATAACATTTTAATCTTTTTTCATTCGATGTTGCTTATATTTCCAACATTGTACATATTTTAGTGTTTTTGTTTCCGATCCTGGGATAAATCGTGTTTTTCGAAAGTCTACATATTCTCCACTTGTATTGTCTTATGCACAGCTAATAAGTACATTTAATCTGAACTCTAACGAGCACGATGTTGTTAAATTATAACAAAAGATTCCTTGTTCTAAAATAATAATGATAAAAGTTTGCATTGCTCCCATCTGTGTATTTTCAGTCACGACACCGAAGACCCCAAAATTGGCGTAAAGTACCTAATTTTTCAGGCTGCATGGTTATAGCATCCAAAGGTTAAGCTAACCCGAATTAATCCCTGGCTGTAATAAAAGATAATGCCGTAGTGATACCGTAGCATCATAAAGGGCGACTTTCAAATGTGGGGATGGTTTACTCTTTTTAATACATACAATCTCCCACGTTATCCACGGCACGGTGCAGTAAGGTTACGTCGATTCGCGCGTCCCTAAGATTTTTCCTGCCATGGGATACCGTCCGTATCGCGCTATTACGGCCACGTTACATGCAAAGCAAAAATCGTCACGCCATATACCTGCCGGAGCTCTCTCTCGAGGCTCGTATCCACGTAGAAGTGGCCAGCACTATCCAACGGACATATCAAAGACCGAGGCGTCAATGGCCCGTGAAATTTCGCCCGGAAGAGCAGAATCCATGGTATACGCGAGAGAGCTCGCGGAACTTCCTTATTGCCGTGGGATATTCCGCGGAGCTCATGCAAGAGAAAAAAGAGAAGAAAGAAGGGCGGAAGGGGAGAAGAGAGAGAGAGAGAGAGAGAGAGAGAGAGAGAGAGAGAAATGTCCAGTCTGGGGCTTTAATTGGCAAAAAAGAGAAAGCACCGCCATGGCGCGGAAGAGTGGTGGAAAGAGAGGGGTTGAAAGGGGAGAGAGGTAATTCCCTCGACGGCGGACTACTCCAAGCGACAATGGAGCCGGCTCCTCGCTTTTTCAGCAAAAGGCCGGGACTTCGATCGACCTACTTTTCCTGACATCGATGGAATCTCCAGTTTCCACGTATGCTCGTGCATGGGGCAGGAGGAAGGGAAGAGGGGGAGGGGGTGGCGACGAGGGCGAGAAAGGAGGTAAACGCGAGCGAGTACGTGCCCTTCTCTTTCCGACAGGGCACGTCGGTACCCGGAGCGGCCCGTGTACGCCGACGAATGGAATTCTTTTCAAGATACGTCCGGCCCTTTTTCGAACACTCCACTTCGGTGCGGTGTGGACGCGAATAACGCGGAGAAGGAATACGTGTCGAGGGTGACCGACAAAGCCAAGGAGTTGATAAGGATGGTCTATTAGATCCCGAGATGGGTGAATCGCGCGTAAAGCATGTAATAATGACTCCCGTGGAAGGAGTGGCGCGAATTGAAAAAAAAAAACATAAGGAAAGTAATAAAAATAAATGGATAGAGGCGCAATAACACGCTGCAAATTATTAAGCCGAGCATGCGATAAACAATTCCATTATTCTGTAATTAATGTAATAGTGTACTTTAAGCAGTTTATGCAAAAAAAGACGAAAAAATGATTCTTGAAGTTTCAAACTTTCAAAATAAAATTTAGATCGCATATACAGTTTTGGTCATAAGTATAAAGCACCCTCAATTTATTGCGTTTTCTTGGAAAAAGCGATAATGAAAGATAAAGGAGAACTAACAAAATGTTAAAATTGTTATAAAAAGAAATATTATTTTTCAATAAAACGTGTTTTTTAAATTTATTTTTATTATAGAACATTTAATGGTCAATTTGCGGGATGCTTTATACTTATAGTAGCGAAGGCTGTATAAACGGAGATGAAGGAAAATCTTACAGAGAGAGAGAGAGAGAGATCTCTATAAATGTGCTTATATTCATTAATCGCATTTCGGTGCATGAATACTATCCGATTGCGGTCTGAGTGCTCATTATACGCGTTGCAAATCCCATCGCGGTGCGAAACATGAAGCAACCTCGTTTACTCCTCATTACATTGATCATCGATCGTATGAACGGAGCAAAAATTGATTAGACAGATTAAGCACGTTCGTATACGCGGCTTACTGTGCGTGTACATCGGTGCAATAAGTGGCACGTGTTGTCGCCGGATAGATTTGCGGGCGGCGCGTGAGGTGTCGGCTGGCTTTGGCACGTAACGCGACACCTGTAATATGTAATCGTCCCGCTGATGTATTACAGAGGACAACCGGGTTAGCCACGTACAAGCGTCATCCCAGCGCCCGGGCGCAATTTCATTTTTGGGCAAAGTTGCGGCGGATGTAAATACGCGGAACACGAATATACATTTTAATGGATTCACGAATAGGACTTTATTCGGAGATAATGGATTCTTCTCTCTTTTTCCGTTTCAATAAAAATGTGCCGTAAAATCATCGGATACACACGTATCTATATTTCACTAAATCTGCTATAGACAGAATTTCAAGAATTTAATTTGACGTAGCATTAATTAATTTATAAAGGCATCGTATTGTTAGGGAATAACGAGAAAATATTCGCTTGCCTGAAAATGTCATTATAATTAAAACAAAGTTATAGAAATGTGAATTTCTGCAATTTACATATTCAATGTGTTACACAACGGATTTATATAAAATAATAAAAATATTATAACGTTGCGGTAACAAATTTGCGTGGGCCACGCCGGTTGCAGTGGACACGCATATGTTGCTCCAGATAATAAAAACTGCGACAAGAATAAACTTTTGTCTAAAGCGTTGCCATTATCATCGTATTTCCTACCATGTCCGTTAGTGAACTGTGAAGTGCAAGCGCACATGCTTTTTAAATGACTGCTTGTAGTTTTTATTTTTTGTTGTATGCGGCACTATATTCTCAAAAAAAAGAAAGAAGATTAAAGTAAAAGTTTTGTAAAATAAACGTTTTACGGGACACATAGAATTCTCGCTTATAGTTTCCTGCACTCATCATTTCGCAGCCAGAAAATTACGCGTTATGCTTAAGCTGCAGAACTATCAGTGCGAAACGCGATGCATGAAATAACTTGCGTTACATAATCCGACTCCAAAGTTTTATATATTAAAACAACATAATTAACAAATTTCTCTTTCATTTTTTTGTTGCAATTGAAATTAATCAAATGTTTATTATTATACTTTGTGCTATTATGCTGCAAGATTTTTTAATCATTTAATATGATAATTTATACGATCATTAAATGCATTAAATAGTAACAAACAATATAAATAATGCTTGTTCAATAGACAAAGTTCATTTAATATTTCGAATTTTTTAATGTGAGTCTTTTTCAGAAACTAAATTTGTTTAGTTTTGCCACATGTATTTACAAAGAATCTGTCGTACATATTGTCAATCTGTACTACTTGTCCGCTTGCAAATAATTTTACTACTCAATTTAAACATCTGATTTATAAGAAAATAAACGGTAAAATTAATATATTCATATCTCAACTTCATATATTATTTAAAGTATCTAAAATATTTAAAATATTTTTACTTATATTTTAATTTAAAAAAAAATTATTTCAATTAATATAAAATAAATCCTTAATTTCGATCATTTATATCCGTGGGACAGATCATTTCTAATGAAAAAATTAATTTTGGAGTACACTGGATCAGAATCTTTTTATAGGAGTTAAAGATTATTCCGGAAGATCTTAAGGCAAGAACTCCCGAGACAGTATTCAAAGCCATTGTCTTCTATATTACACGGCGCAAATACGCCAGGAAAACTTCTCAACCTCGCTCACAATAATATGTATTCTCGTTTCCCGAACTTTTCTTCGTATCTGTTCAAGTGTTCCTACGTTTCTGTACTTCTGAAAACGATCTCGCAGGTTGATTGCAGAGCTTGTTAAGCAAAAATTGTCTTGTAAGTTACTTTACAATCAAATAAGAATTGGATATGTCAAGTGCAATATTTTTTTGTCTTATTTACTGAATGCTATCTTTATCCCGTATTTTATATATACGAGTATTAATCTGTTATCCTTTTCTTAAACGTAAATTAAAAAGATTGTTGTAAGCACAACAAAATTCTAAAAATTAGAGAAATCTATTACGTCCAATGTTATTTAAATACGAAAATTAAAAATAATTTATTCCGTTTAGTAGTCATTTGATTAAAAATTATTATTATTACTATAAAAATTATTATTATTATTATTATTATAGAATGTCTATTCTTTTCCTAAAAATTACTTTTCAGTAGTAATTAAAATTAAGAAGTTAATTAAAAGCTACTTTTATACATACATACAAATAAAATAATAAAACTATACGATAATTGAAAATCATAGAGAATGGTGCATAAATTATTTTAGAAATTAAATTATTAAATTTTCAGAATATGTAATAATTTTTGTATAACAATTTTACTATTTTTAGCAATACTTGTAAATAAAAAAAGAAATATTCGTTTCAAAGAGTGCGCAAAACATGACATTTTTTAAAAAATTGAAATAACTTTTATATCATGTTTTGTTAACAACGTGTATGGTTACATGGAAACGGAATATAGAAAATAATGCATTTAGTACTTCAATGTTATCAGATTTGTTTCGGCGCAAATGGTATAAAAAAGTATACGCAATATTTTATTTAAAAAATGCAACATACAACGTGGTAAATCCGCGATTTAGGACAAACCCACAGATTGTAAATAATCGAACTGTGTAAAAAATTGTATATTGCTTTCAATTCAGTTCAAAAAATAAATTTCAATAACACCTATACAATGTATAATACGTTACAATATATATGTTTAATGTAAATTAATAAATAATATAATAAAAATAATATATATATAATATAAAAAATTATATATATATATAATTTTTTCTTTCTACATATTATAATCAAAACGTATTTGATATTGTAAAATAAGTGAAAAAAATGATAAGCATTCTACAAGTTTGCTATTCAATATTCCCGTATCGTATTGAACTAAAACAAACGCTGGTTACGAAACTAGATTTCTTGCGCTTATGTTCCGCCAGTAACCTTTTTCAGCACGCGAAACTGACACACCTTTGTTCTGGAGAGTGATTTAACGCTGCCAGCAGAGAGTGCCCCGAAAAAGCACTTGGATTTACCGTGCGCGCAGTAAACAATGAGGATGACTGTGGCTTGAGAGCGGCTGCAGGAACCAGTGCGGACCTACAGAATGTAAAACGCGCCTCGATGGAGTATTTGCTATACTCCATGGCAAAAATTACTTGAAGCTTGTTACTGCAACAGGTTGTCCTCATTGCTTTACGTGGATGCGTGTGTATAAATCCCTGATATCACTGTTACAGTTCAAACGCATGGTTTTGTTACCTCGCGCCAAGCTTAGCATAGCAAATGCAGCGAAATTCCATGCAATACAAAGCGACTATTTATAAACTTCGACATCCATACAAGGCGCGTTAAATTTAAAATTTTTCAAGAAGAAACAAATAAATTGTTACAATTTCGTTTATAGGATTAAATTTTTCCATTTTTTTTATCTTATCTTCGCCTAACTGTGTAACGCACAGTAAGTAAACACGCTACAAAACGTAGACAGTTGTTAACAAAATAGAGTCCTAATAGCAAGTTATATTGCTTATGCCTATTACTTATAGCCGAACGACGATTCCACTCGAACTCGGTCTCGGTATGATCGCAAAATTACGTTTTTACCCGCAGTAAATATTCCCGCAGACACCGGAATCGGTCGGAATTTGCAGGATCACGTCGCGCCTGAGAATTTCCCCGCGAGCCTCCCACCGATCCGTTGTGCGTGTCACGCGAGGAATTTCATCGATATCACCGGTTCTTATGCGAGCGGCGAACGAACCGACCTAACGCTCGATGTTCACATAAAAAGGAATCGGATGTCTCGAAGAAAAACGATCCTCTCCTCTCTCTCCCGAAGTCGCAGCTCGATCTCTCGCGTCTTCTCGCGCACGTTCGCGCATGCATCCACGCGGACGTATATATATGTGTGAATGTATTTGCATGTATATGGATGAGGGTACTTACAGGGACGGCATTTGTAGGCGACCTCGATGTACTTCCGTAATCCGGGGCAGGGATCACCTTGGAAAGTCTTCGGATCAGTGTTGAATTTGCACTGCCGCTTCTTTTGACAGACTCCAACCACCATCTGCAACAGTGAGTGCTAACGCGTCAATGAGAAGATCCGCTCACTTTTCGATCAGGCACGATAAGAATTACAAAAGATATCACTTTATATCTATTCTCATTCCTTTTCAGGCATCATTAAATTGCGCTGTTAAGAAACGTTGGAATTTTATTTTCTAACATAATACTCGTATATTAGGAAAGCAATATATCCTGCGTATATATGTATTTAATTAAACCGCCGAACAGAAAATTTGTAATAAAATAAAAAAAAGAAATATATCTTCTAGCAATAAATCACGGAGACGATATTAATGTATCATAAATACACACAATTTCATATCAATTACCACGTTGAATTATTTGTTAAAATCATAATTAAATATTTAGAAAAAGTAAAAATATTTGTGAAAATGTTATAAAATTTTTTTAATAATGTAAATCCATTGGGTGTACACACACATACACGCAGAAAGGAATCTAACAAAGATTAATATGAACAAACAGAATCAACAGAACAATATAGTTCGATGGCACTTTGAAGTCAAAGCTTGAAATTACAGTGGTTACACTCTTTGCCGCGGTTATTGCAAAAGTATTCATTTAATTAAAAAAAAAGTACATCAATGACGGCGGACAAATTATGACAACTTCAATTGAACTAGTTAGCTTTTACACGAAATAAGGACTTAATTTCGTGGCCGAACCTTTCCGCCGACGAGTTTGAGTTTGAAATGAGATTATTTCCGCTTTTTTTATGAAAAGCTGTCGGAAAAAGTAAAACTAATATCGTTGAGGTCAACCTGCATAACGAAATTGTATGCCATGTGCCAATATTTACGAGAACAAATCGACATGATGAGCGATGGGCTGTTCATAAAGATATAAATAAAAAAAAGTTTAAACCACTAATTGTAAGTTTAAATTTTAGTTTAGAATTTTTAACTCGCTCTGTAAACATCAGATTACAAAGGACGAATTGCAAGGATAAAGTGCAGGATAAATTTAATCCAAATGGATTAAAAATGTCATAATAAAAATTAGCTATATTCAAGAAATTGTTACAATCTTCTAACAAAAAGTGAAATAAAAATCATGTTTCGACTTTCACGGAAATGCGTTTTCACCGTTACCCGGAAATGCGACGATTGGATTCTGCGGAAGATAGAACGGAAGAGGTGAAAAGCGCTGAACAAGCGCGCAAAGGGAGAAAAACGGTGTACCGGTTTTTTAATTAAGAAATTTTTCATTTGGGTATAAGGTAAAAGCTGTCGAAAGCGTGTAATAACGTCATCACGGAAAAGCATCTTTCCGAGTTTCGCATTCATGAGGAGTCATTGGTTATCCGATAACGCTAGGTGATATCCGCACATCGTCGAGAATTCCTAGGATTCCATTTTCAATCGGCTGATTGCGTGCAAAGGCACGAGTTACATTGCCTCATTCAAGCTTAATTACGTTAAACGCAATTTAATCGCGTTACATGAGCAGCATCTCAATAAAGTGCGCAGTAATTTTAATCGAGGGCAGAGCGTATATACGCATAACTCTGTGTCAATATAATCATTTGTGTTCATAAAGTATGCATAAAATACGAAAATAAGAATGCAAGACACGCGAGAATGACTTTGAGGTTTAAGGAACGGCCGAATTGAATAATATTTCTTCTCGCGTTTTTAATTTCAAATTTATGTTAATAAAAGACATTTCCACTGCATACTAATATAATTTTTTTTTTATTCCCGATTAAATCCATCCACCTTGTGTCACATGTGATAATTAAAAATCGATGAGCTCGCTCACGAAAATGCGGGGAAAAAACGTTCGTTGTAATAGTTGTAATATCCCGTGGGAGGTGAAGGAAGACAGAAGACATGGGAAATGTGGAAATTACGTTTCCAGGTTTCAAGCTGCTACCGACACATTCACGTTCGGAATCCCGCATGCGACTCGCTCGCGCATGTGTTCTCGCGCATATACGATATCCATCTAATTATCGGCTTTCGGAGTTTCCGTCTTGGGCCATTCTCCTGCATTTCACGTGCACGCGGCGCGCGGAGGGTTCCCGCGGGAGAAATCGATTTTCCGTGTGCGTCGATACATTCTGACCGTTTCCATGTCGTCCGTCACTATAAGTAAACGTTTACCGTTCCGTCGAGCGACTTCGCCCCGGGGACCAAAGTCAGGACGCGTAATTCCCTTAAACCGCTACGTTTCTCTCGCTGTTGTATGAGAGAACCCGATACTGTAAACTAACAAACCAATCTCGGCGCAAGTAGGACCATCGTTTGGATATTAGTTGAGCTACTTCGAGTTGCCGTGAGGCAACGCGATTAGCAATCGATCACGCGAAGCCCTCAACATATGTATTTCAGGAGATGTATCGCTCGCTCGTTACTCGAGTGTGTCTTGGATATTATTTACGTGTTACGTGCGACAAAAGAATATAAGAACTCTTCGACTTATACATACGGCGTAGCGCAGTAAATGCACAAAGCGTCACGAAACCAACGTAAGTCCTCGGACGATAAAATCGTCCGAGCTATAAACTGAAGGATCAGCATATCGAATCTCAATCTTTGGAATGATACGCAGACGTCTGACCTCGCAACACAAAGCCCGGGTCGTAAAACGATCGAGTCTAGATTCCCTTACTCCCTGCTTTAGAACCGCGATCTCGCTCCATCTCCCTTTATCCAGTTATAATCCGTTTAAGTCTCACTTCGTAATATCCGCTCGTTTATACGTAAACATCCTCGTTATCGATATTTGCACATCCACTTCAGTCTCCCGATCTTATTTTCGGTCGCGATTTACATACGTTCCTCGCGGAAGAACGCGTCTGCAAACGCGCGCGAGCGTATGCACCCGTCGCTTTTATTCCGGCAAGCCGCGACTTTAAATTCCTACCTCTTTATGGAAGCAGCGACGTATGTCGCCGAGAAGTTGCGCAGAGGGTAAGCACTCGCGCGGAAAAGCCCTTTCGCGAGATTCGAATCGCTCGGCGAGGCACGGAGCCACTTTCGAGTCGAACTCTCCTTATGGTTCTACAGGGAATACGCCTTCATTCAGGGATACGCCTTTCCAGCATCGAAAATTCCCATGCAACCTGCGCCCGGGAGAAGTACCGCCGCGCCGCGCGCGCTGATTCGTTCACGTGCCGTCGTGCCGGAAAACGCTTCCCGTCGTGGAAACAGGAGCGTCATCAGGACGACCAGGAATTTCACGTGTGCATTGGAAGCAATGGTGCGAGCGATCGCCTTCTCGCGATGTGGTCTCGAACGAATTACACCGTTAATTCTTCTACGATAAAGTACGAACGTAAATTATTAACCAGAACTGGAACTGTATTATATATGGAATACACTTAATCTCACGTTTTGGCATCAAACATCTTAGATCGAATAAAAAATGAGATGCAAAGAAAAAAAATCGTATGTTAAAAATATGACTCAATTAGGCTTCTTCTATTATAGAAAAACTTGACGCTACGCTATTTATTTCTCTTTATGACGTTTAAAGGGAATGGAACGTTCTAGCGCAACGATATATAAACAGATTTTAGGTATTTCATTCACTTTAAAAATTTTTTATGACCTTTAAATCCTCATGCCAATACATATTTGCAATCGTTTGAATTTCTATTTATTGAATTTTGTGTTCGATAATTGAATAAATTTAAATTTTTTACGCGACGTAAACCTTCTGGAGTTAAAAGCGGTAAATGCGCGGTGAATGAAAGTACTTCAGAATTCCATAAATTGTTCGCAGTTAACTATGACCGTAGGTTGGTCCAATATGTAAGAACATAGTAAATAGATTACGCACACTTCACTATGAGCTTGTTTTATGAGTCAACCTTTTGTTAAGAGATCAAATAAATTGTTCAGAAAGTAGATTCTTTTTCACAGTGTCTGGCTGGTTGAACTATCGACCATCATTGGTTTTCTCTGTAGTATACGTTACAATCTGCCTGTAGAAAAGGACCCGAAAGCGCTATAAATCCCGTTGAAAACATTACGGATAGTCATTGGCGTAGGGCGTCGTAAAACTATACCTATCATTGCTTTACGATCCGATCTTTTGCAAAAAGATAAACAAAGATTCTATTTCTTAGCACAATTCCGGTAATGATATATCACAGCTAGGTATATATGTACGCATAAAAATGAGGAAAAGGGCAAATTTTAGCATTTTATAAAATTTATACCTCGAGAGAGTAAGCGTGTCGGACGAATCGTATATCCAGTGGCTAAAAAATACCGCGCACGATGCAAGAGAAAGCGTAAATCTTGTGAAAAGCAAGATCTGCAGAAGAGGATAAGATCGTCGGCGAAATAAAAGAGTTACTCCATTTTCGCATTCTGGACGGGATCATACGTACAATGGTTCCTTCCTCGGTCGGTGGAATATGAAATATGAAATCGATACGCGGACTCGCGAAAACCTGCAAACCAATGGATACCGGGAAAGATTTTTATTGTATACTGAAGGTAAGTTATTATATCGCAATGTCGTGCGAATAACGCCGCTTTTTTTCCTGAGAGAATAGAAGCGGGGACCGTATTCTGAATTGCCAAGAGACACCTTGATCCATTCGAAGACCGTTGCCCAATGACGTTACCGTAAATTTAAAACTTTATTATTTGTACACGTTCGTAACACCCAAGTTTCATTTATAAAGAGTAAATTTCAATTTAAAAAAAAACAATCTCAAAAGATCTTCGCTAATTTTCTACTCGATTTTCGCTTGAATACAATTAAATCGTGTCAGAAATATGAATAATATAATATCGAAAAAAAGAGACTAAAACAAACCCGTATATTCTAAGAACACCTTACTCGTCACCGACAATCTCGTTATATCGCCAGGTCGCTTTCCACCCTCTTCTCTTTGGCCCGCGCGACCTCAAACGAATTTGTCAGTTGCACGCTTCGCAAAACACAGGGGTGCCGTTTTCAGGTCAGTTACCATTATTTCGCGAAACCAAGATTTTAGACCAACGCGAGGATGTATCCCTTTTCCCGCTCTCGCGCGAGATCCATAATTGCCAGTGAATTAAGCTCAAAGAAAACAAGTTTTCGTGCGGGCGCATTCTCGGCGAACTTTTCTCCGCGGAGTTTCTTCCCGCCGTTGCATTCCTGTTGAGAGAATAAATCGTACACGCCGATGCCTTTTCCCTCGGCTTGCCGACTTGCTCGATTACCATTCTCGCGAAAATTTTCGCGAGAGCTCCTTTGACGATGTTTACAGTTACATCTGAGTTGCGCGTTTACGTCGTCTTTGACGAAGCTTCTTCCTTTAGCTCGCTTAAATCAAACTCGCTCGACAATTTTGAAAAATCGCACGGAACGAAAAATAAAGGCAGATGCGAGAATACGAAATGTTATGGCTTTTTGAATTTAGATTTATATATGCTAACCCTTTGAGGCCCGGGGCTTTCTAACAAAGTAACTCTCTAACAAAGTGACTATCCCATAGACCGAGTTTCAGGAAAATTCAGCAACCAGTTCACAAAATACAAGGGGAGTACCTAAACGCGCGGGCATACCGCTCCATAAAGGGTTAACATGTTTTCATGTTTAGTTTTATGTATTGATATAAATTAATTTTTTACTTTTAACTTAGCGTAGATAAAAAATACTGACAAAAATGACCGCGGAAAAAGTACGGCAATCTTGATTTCGTGTAAAATCATCCGAAGGATAAAAACGACGCGAATGCGCTCGGATGCATACACAAGTGCCTGCATGCGTTTGAGCGAGGTTTACGACGCTTGAAGCATACGAAGGTTAACCCCAGAAAGGATAGGGTTCGGTTTACGATTCTTTCCGGTTCGGTACTCGCATCGGGATAGAACGAGAGGAGAGCCAAAGTGGAATGAATACATCATCCACGCCCTTCCCACGGATTAGAATTGAGGAGGTTCGCGAAGAGCTAATAAATGTAAAACATTGAATAAAGTTTCGGAGCAAAGAGACCGAGAAACGAAAGTGTTGCCATAAAATTGGAGCAGGCGTGAATGACGGCGTAAAACCTCTTTCCAGGCTGTATCAGGATGAAACGAACAATCGCGATGTCCCTCATGAAACGTGATGTCACGATGTTATGAAACGGAGATGACGCATCCTATATTTGATCGACGTTCGAATTCTTCAGAACTTGCGAATTTAGGCGGCTCAGATTGAACGGAGTTTGGACTCGCGGAACTTCCTTTCGGGAGCTGAAGAGGCAGAATCGGAAGATAATCGGAATTTAAAGTACGTCCAAATATTAAACTTTCGCGGGAGAATGGAATCATGCCATACCAAGTTTAGCAAATTTGCAAAGTTCGTGCGCTACGTCATTACACGAGAAATACCTATGTGATCAGCCTTTTAACTTGTGACAAAAAGAATATGTCGCATTAAGCGCTCGTCGTACTTCAACATCGACATAGTTTAATATCAACTTTTAAATAGTAAAATTCAATGTCACTAACTATATAAAATTTCTAATTATTATTTTAAAAGAGCTAATATCTCATTAATGTATTATAGATGTATGGTGTGCCATAATGCCCATAATTAACTAGAGCATGAAAGATTCTGATTTTTAAAAAACAAAAAGAAATTTTTTTAATGACAAAGAAAAATTAATTGTTTGTTTTGTAGCGATAATAAAAAATGTTTTCCAAAAACTTTAAACTTTTTAATAAATTTTAATTAATAAAATTTTAATCTTATTTAATCTTTGAGGTTTTCTAACGCTAAATCAATTAAATCGTTCAATATATACAATCACGCAGTAGTAAATTTTCAATAAACTTGAAAACCGCATACACGCTACGCCGCTCGATCGGCATTTACCTGTTCAGAATACGAGAATTTCATTGGCACATACCTGCACTGATTGCGGCCAGATACATGTGTGATTCGTCGGTCTGTCCCCCGCGATCATCAGAGGAACGGACGAGTTGCATTTGATGATGCCGTGCATTCCTGTTCTTCCATACTGAGCGTGTTCGACAAGGATGGTGGTGCCGGGCGGGCATTTTAACGTCATTGTCTCTTCGTCGCAAGCCGCGCGTTGATAGGTCTTCAGGGTGCCTGACAACAGGGCTGTTCAGTTAAAATAGAAAAACCGCACGATATGAGCGACGTAAAAATAGGATTAAACGATCCGAACGGTAATGACATATAAAATTGCATTATAGTTGCGATCGACAATAATCGATACCGACAGGATAAAAAGCGAAGTATTAAATAAATAGACGCCGCATAAAGGTGTGATATGAGAAATGGATGATGGAAGGTGTTCAAGCCACACGTAAATTATGGAAGGGCACGGAAGAAAAGAAAAAGCGCGCGGAAAGTGCGAGCGGTCGCGTATCGAAGATCGATCGATGAGCCGTAATGGTGTCGCCACCGCAGCAGCGATCAATTTAAAGGGATTGAGAGTAATTAACGAGTGGATCAGCCGGGATTGGTTCGGTCGAGCGGGAACGGATGTATCAATGGCACAAATTCGCCCGCGAAAGCAACGTCGTTTCGTTTACACACGATACGCGGTTTAACATAGCGAGCGGGAAGCAGTCGACATTTGCGGAATTTAACGCGGAGATCGTTTCGTGACGATGGAGTTTGCGGACGGAACCGCAGACGGTACCAGCGTGTAAATGCAGATTTTGCGCGATAATTTCGCGAGTGGCGTCCAATAAAGGGCGGTACGATTGTAGAAGTTTTCGAGGAAATAAGCGAAGTGATTGTAGCAGTGCATGCGATAACAGCCCGTGTGTGAGATAACGCGTGATAAAATGTTAGGATATGCACAGGATTCGTTGTTAATTAATAGTTCGTCGGTAAGTGAAGCGTTAGCATACGAATAGTTAATAAGATAATAATAGATAACAGTACCAACAAATGACATCAATGCAAGATTTTCAAGGAAATTTAATCAAAATAAATTAAATAAATATGTCAATGTGTATGTATGCATATGTTTATGTCACCATCACCCGTGCATCAATATGTCACCGCAATCACCATCACCACCATCACCGCAGTTATCGAGAGCCGTCGTTACACCACCACCGAATTATCAGCAGCCACGGATGAGAGTACGGCCCGTCGTCGTCCCGATGAGAACAACATGAAAAATAAAACAGATGAAAAGCTTGTTAGTTATGTCGTGAGCAGTCACGTACGAGATGCGGAATATGCAAATTCTTCAATATTTCCTAACGCCGGCAGGAGGAATTGCGCATGGAGGAGCGAAGTCGATAATTCACGCGGCGACGAAGGAACATCTGTCTGACCCGATATTGGTCGTTTCTCCTGCGACGAGGCGTTCGTGGTAAAGCGTGCCGGTAAAGCGTAGGATACGCTTCTCAATTTTATTGAGTAAATTTGTAGAGCCAAAGAAGATCGGAATCATTTTGATTATTCGGATATGCCCGCAATTATATTACTGTTGCGCTCTCTTTCGCAAATATTAAATACTCCCGAAAATTTCGCATGAGACGTGATATTTCTACGCGGCACCATCTTTTGAGCATATATTTTACCTTGTATTCTTTCGCATCATTAACTATATATTCGTTGTTTTGCCGATAAGATATAAGACTAATTCTTTAATCTTAAATTATTCAAGCACGGGAAATGAAATATTAATTACAATTAATTATTCGAAAATGTTCAATAAACTTGATTTCAAGAAACTAAATATAAAGTACCAAAAAATAAAATTATTCTAATACTATCTAAAATATTAAGATAATTATCTTATACGCAAAAATAACTATTATTGCATATTTCTTGATGTAATATTACAACATTTATAAGCTAAATGAAAAGTGCGATTTTTAAAAAATAGGACAATTGTAATTACATAAAATGTGTATTTGAATTATATGTCAACCGACCAGAGTACTTTACTGCGACATTGCATAATTCGTTGCCTTTTCCATCGACAAGATTCGCAATAATGTCGTGACATAGCAACGTTGAGAAGTAAAATACTTCTCGACATCGTCGGTACATTGTGTCTTGGTAACGACCGTCTTCGTTCCACCGTCTAGATTATATACATAAAGCCGAGCACAAAGAGTAATGCATACAAACGATTGTTGCACCGGGCAATAACAAACCTGGGTCCGCTATTACATTCCGTGGCCCTCTCCGCGCACGTTCGTAAATCAACGACTGCGAGCATGCAAACTGTAAAGCGCTGAACTGCACTAGCAGCTACTTGGGATCTTCGCGGGGGGGACCGCTGTAACTCGACTACGTGATTGGAATGACCAAGCAATTCGATATGCCCCTTGATCTCCGAAGATGAAGAATGCGCGTACACAATTCACAGGCAAAGAATGCGTGAAGTTTCGCGTATCGCAATTCGATTAGATTTAATCGGGTAAGTTCTCCGTGATCTCTTTCTCGGTTTCCCTGTATCTCTCCATTTCCCTCCCATGCCACTCATTCGTGTGTACGCTGAATGTCTACGCTCTCTTTCGTTCCTGTCTCTACTGAAGTGATTATTTTGTCGCCACTTGTGCAGATTGTCGTCGGAACAAAAAACGTGTATATACAGATTTTGAAAATAGGTAACAATACGCGAAAATTTTAAAACAATTCTGTAACAATTCTCTGCAGCATTTATTGCGTGTGTGAAGTTTGCACCCCAACATTAAAATTCCATATTTCTGATTAGAATTCGATAACGGAATTTAATAATAATTTTTAATTCAACTCTAATCAGAACTATGGAATTTTAACGTTGGAATGCGAACTTCACACACACGCATTTTATTTGTAATATTCACATAATACACTCTTGTTAGTTATTTGACTTTTAAATCAATATTTAAAAAAACTGCATTTTTACGTCGAACAAAGACTTATTATTAAAAGAATTGTTGTATTTTAGCCGATTTTAAAAATACAAGATCACATATTTTACACATTTCAATTTATATTATTCTATTCATTTAAAAAAGAGCAAAAATCTGGAATTATTACTTTCAATATATGGCAATGCTGTAATGTAATATAAGATTTCGTTCCACTCTCATGTATCCTTTCCAAGGCTAAAAATATCATTTTTTTTTCGGATACTATTTTTACATTCGTCACTCGTTATCCTAATGCACTCAATCAACGTCTATTCATGCTGCGCATATGTATATGGTAGCATAGACGACGAAAAAAAAGTTTATAAAAATTCTACGCGAAATATGCTCTTATTATCCGAAACTGGGTTAACGACAGTCTCGAACAACAACCGTATTCTGATTTATCTTCTATAATTATTATGAGAGCTCGTACGGAAATTAAACGCGGAATATCGCGGATTAATCAAGCTTAATGACATTTACGTATTACTACTGCGCTTTAGATATGAATGATAAATACGGATGCAGAGTCATTAACATTATTAAAAACGTTGCAAATTAATGCATATTTTGCTATTAAGTGTATAAGAGTCATTGGTAAGAAAGCCAGCTTATGTAAAAAGATGAAATTATTATTTGAAGGAAAAAATATACAGTGTATTATAATGCAAATTCATTGCAATTTATTGCGTATCCGCTTATGTAAATGCATCTAATATTTTCTAATATAATAGAACTGTTCATGTTATTTACACTTTTCTCAGAAGAAATGCTTTCTATCTCTCCAACGCTCAAATATGTATGCATAACTATCTCTATTACTAAGCTCAAAAATATTTTTGGGAATTTTAAACACAAACAAATGTATAATATCTATAATAATCTATGCTTCATTGATAAAATGAAAAACATCTGCTAATACACAATATCTCTATATCTTAAAATTTCTTTCAATTTTAATAAATAATATATGAAATCTTAAATATTGTAAATGACAAACTGTATCGCGAATAATAAACATTTCTCTCTATTATAATAACTATATGTTATTAATTTCGTTCACTTATTTAAATTATCAAAGTTATTTAAGTATCGTAATTATTAAATATTTGCTAACAATAAGTACTCTAATAAAAAAAAATTTTTCATGAAAAGAGTTTGTGATTTACGTGTATTATGTTTAAAAAAAAAGAATGTAATTATCATTTTGTGCCATTTACCGAGAACTTTTGATAAAGATACTTCTTTCTTTATATACACTTTAATGTAAAGAGCAGCAGCAGTACTTAAGACGATTCTTTTTATCGAATGTTCTTTTCCCAGAACGTTCGATTTTGCTCTTATCCTGTCTCCCGCACTTACACGGACATCGGGCTCACACTTTTATGGCGACAAGCTGTAAAATAACTCACGGCTGCGGAAGTAAATTGTTGTTCTGGTAACGGATGAACATGAAAGCGGAAGTAGGACTGTGAATTCGAATGTTTATTCAGTCGCAACCTTACGAGCGCGACTTCCGCGGGGAGCACATTATTTAAAAGGTCCATTTATCGGGTGGATCGTATATCGTGTATCGAATCGAAAAGGCGAGAGGACAAAAGCTGGAAAACAGCTTGTAAATTCGCAGCTTGACATGAATGGCACGTCCGTTCTCATTTTTGGCTTGTCGTTTTACCATATGATTCTCATTTCCTTTATAATCTGGCATTATTATTTCACAATGTACCTCATTTAAAGATAACTACTATAGATAACTTATATACTTTAAATAATAACGTTTATGTAATTATATTAATAACGTATTGTCGTAAATAAACGTTGTCATAAATACGTATAATATATTGTCAAAATTTCGAGTTAAATTTAAATATAAATAATGGATCTATTATATTTCACCTTGAATACGCGGTGCCTCATTGTAAATAGAAAAGACTTGATCCGGTAAGTTCTTATTTTGTAACTACAATCGTGTCCCGAATAACATAATATTTCGTGATGAAAGATTAACCCAAATCGAACGCGCGCGTAGAGATATTTCGACTTAATTCGTCCAGCTAATCCAAGGTTTAAGGTTCCTCGAAACGAAGCTTACCAGAGGATTAAAGTATCGTTGATCCGAACGGATACCATGGAGCAATGTAAACATGCCGGAGTCCAGCAAGGAAGTTTGAGAATAATGACCGTACTAGTTTCGCAATAATCGCGTACAATTATAGT